GTGGAACCCTCTGTTAACTTTTTTTTTTGGCTCTAACGAGCATGTCCTTTAATGATTTTCCTTTTTTGTAAGGAAATGATTGGTGAAGTTATAGTTGGTTTTGTATAAGATTCCATTTTTACATTTAAGCTTCCGCTATAGTAGACCCTGAGGGCTGGTGTTGTGTCACGAATGGCAATATTTCTTTTTCATCCTTGTTGTTTTGTTTTAGGAGTTTAGAATCCCTTTTGTGAATTTTATTTCTGATCGTAGGTTTTCTGTCAAAGAGTGTGGGTAGCCTCCGTCCATCAAGCCTTTTTTTTTTAAATTTTGAATTATTTTCCTAAAAGGTTATTTCTGAGGAGTTTTTGGTAGGATTCTCAAGGCTTCTCCTTTGACAAATCCTTTTTTACCATTTAGAGGGTGACAAGAGGTGAAATGTGTGTGCAAAAAGGTTTCCATTTGTTTAAAATGTGTCTTTGCATCAAGGATAGATTTTTCCTTGAATCTTGTGCCTTTGTATACAACCGTGTCTAAAAATGCAGTCTCAGTGTCAAATGTTTCGGCCGTGAATTCAATAGTTGGGTGATGTAAGTTTGCTTGTTCAATTAAGGCTTCGATGTCTGGTTTACTCATGTCCCATAGGGAAAAGATATCGTGTATGTAGCATTTCCAAACTGTTGTTCTAAAGACAGTTTTGCTTAGAGTTGTTGTTTCAATATATGTCATGAAAATATTGGCAAAGGAATCAAAACTGCTGTCTTTGTGCCCATTGAAGTTCCATGGTTTTGTAGGTAGTGCTTTCCATTGAAGTGGAACAAATTTTCTTTGAGGATTAATCTAAGCATTTCCGGCAAGTAATGTGTAGGAATGGGCTGTCTTTGTAGAAATTTTCATATGCTTTGTGACAGACAATTTCAATATACCCTCGTTTTGCTGTATATTTGTGTCAAGACTTATAACGTCCATCGAAACAAGAAATGTTCGGTTTTTCACATTTGTCTTTTCAGTGAAAGGTATGATTTCTGTGATTTTGATATTGGTTGCAGCAGTGTATCAACAAGTACAGAACAACGTTTTATTGGATTATTAAGAGGACACCAAACATCCATGTTTTACCCAGAGGGTGGGTCATGCAATTTCCAACCTTGCTTTAGGGGTGGGTCAGTCATTTTTGTGCCCAAGGGAGGGGGTGGGCCATGTGTTTTTTATCAATGATATTTCCAAATGCTCCGGCCCACCACCCCGCCCCCTATACTTTTTGACCAGTCCCTAAATTTTCAGTTTATTTTACTTTCTGTAACAGCTTTATTGCAGTTTTTGCTTATAGGAGCTCAGTGCTTGACGCGTAGATTAATTCACCTCGTGCTGGTATGCCATTGTCCAAGTAGTATCTGCCGACTTAAACTTCAAGGGTTTATAGTCAGGGCACTTTTCACTTCTATTATGTTAATATTATTTTTCCTTTCTGAAAGACTTGGCGCCCATAAAAGAACAGACACTGTGGGTACAGAACAAGACTTCAGAGTAACTAAAGTGATCATGCACCCCTTTTATTACAAACCAGTTGGTATGAGCCATGACATCAGTTGTCCTTCTCAAACTGTACCGACCGGCAGCGCTGAACAAGTAAGCTCAGTAGGGACGTAATGCAAATCGTAAATATGTTAAATCTTTGGTATAACAACTTGCTATCTATGGCGTAAGGACTGTCAACAGATTTTTTTAAGAAAGTGCGAATTGCTAATGACTGGTTTTAGGCACTAGATTTTACATGGACAGGAAGTGTGGCAGGTTAGGGTGAAAAATAGAAAACGAAACAAAAAGACAACAGATCCAGGTGGGGGCAATTGAAACCAAGACAGACCAATCAAATATCTCTTCCACCCACTGCGAGATTCATTTCAGCACATTGGTCAAAATCCTTCCTTTAAAGTGGACCATGTGGCCCAAAATAAGGTAGCCTAATCAGGCTCTTAAAAACAGCCACCAGTTGGCGCTTAAAAAAATCTTAGTAAAGGTTTACACGTGTTTAATGATAAATGACAAACTCGGATACTTGCTTTTCATGTATTTCAACAATAGATTCGTCAACTTGGTATGCCTTCCAGGATCCGTTCCAGCTCCTGTAGAAGGCAAGAAATGTTGGATCACCTAGTTATCACCTCTTGAAATCCATGTTCTTCTTGATCTGAAGTATGATTTAGATGAAAATAAAAACGCTTTTAAAATTGTCATGACTTGTTATTTCTTGAAGCTCGATTTTTGTTTTAGAAAAATAACCTACCCTTATAGATGAGGACTGGAATAGTTGATACAGGAAAAGACAGCCAAAAGTCGCCACATACCACGTTCTCTTCAGGTTTGGGTGAGAAAACAGTAAACAAACAAGAGGAGCAATGGACCCTAACCTATAGAGATTAATGCCAAAGATCTTCGTGACAGCAAGCTATGAGGGACTTCTGTGTTCCTTTATATATCTCTACACGAAGCCTCTATATTTGACTTCATGCGGCGAGGCAATAATTCGTCTTGTTGCCACTTTGAGGCCGGTCTTCCCTGCAGGAAAACGGGTGAATTTCCCCGGCAAGGGTGGCGGCCAATCGATTCTCGTTTGCAAGTGGCGAACATTATACTTTCTCAGTTGTATCACATCCACCACTTTCAAGACCAGTTGTAAAAGTGGTAAACCCACAGGGTTCGTACCCTTTTTTGAACAAAAAATTCAAGGACTTTTCAAGGAAACATTTCGCATTTTTCAAGGACTCCATTCAATGCAAAAAAAGAGCTTAGAGTCTATGTCTTTTTTTAGTTTTTCCACATCAGGAGAATTTTATCCCGAAGGTCTTTGTGTTTGTTCCTTTTCCTTTACAGTTTCCCTTAGCAATGAAATCAAAGGACTTTCCAGTACCGACTGCAATTTTCAAGAACTTTCAAGGCCTTGTATTTTATAAAAAATTTTTAAAATTCAAGGACTTTTTCAAGGATTTTCAAGGTGCGTGCGAACCCTGGGCGTAGAAAAACATATTCAAGAGATTCAGGGGTCAAGCCCTATTTCTAAACCTCCGATATCTCCTCTGCAGCTGGTCATTCACGTGGTCAAAAAAACGCCTTGCTGGAAAGGATGGAACTAGACAAAAACCTCACATCATTTAAAATCATAATTTCCTTTGTCTGTCTTTTCTCAGTGCATCTCTTGCTCTCCAGTATGGCGGTTTTGTACCACGTGAACGACTCGCCTTTCTTACTTCTTACTTGCGGAAATTTAGCAAAGGGACGGGACAGCATGCAGATACGGATAAACCCACGTTAAAAGAATGAGACAATATCTTGCATGTATCTTTGATCATTTCCTGCATGAATTTTTCTATCTGAAATTTTTGTACGAGATTACTACAATCAAGTCATAATATCTTGATAGATTTACGTTAAGAATACATATTTTTTGTTACATTGTTTTAAACTTCAGACGGCCGCCATAGTCTTCGAAACCGTCAAGTGCACCCTCTGTTAGTAAAAGTCTCATATAGGTAGTTTATTTTGGAAACATCAGTATTCGGTTATACTCTTAGACTTTTACCTCAATAGCGACAAGGGAAAAAGAGCGATTCAAAGGAATGTGGGGTACTTATCAGATGTTATTCATCAGATGCTTCTGATGTTATTAATTGCAGGCGGAGGCTCAAATCTTGTGCGTGCCGCTGTATATACTTCCATCTTGTTAATGCAAAATCCAAGCGACTGAGTTTTCTCTTCTCCTGTTCTTACAGCTCGTATTTAGCCCAACGGTACGTAAGCGACCGGACGAGCTGAAACTGTAAAATGACAAGAATAAGACAATAAAGACGAAAACGGAACTGAAAATGGTTTGCTTTGGTTGAGACGGCTGGATGTGTGCCCAACCATAATTATAAGTGTCTGGCTTCCTTAATTTACCCTACGAAACCGCAAGAAAGAGCTTTGGGTTTGAGATGGGAAGTCATGATGCTGANAATACATATTTTTTGTTACATTGTTTTAAACTTCAGACGGCCGCCATAGTCTTCGAAACCGTCAAGTGCACCCTCTGTTAGTAAAAGTCTCATATAGGTAGTTGACTTTGGAAACATCAGTATTCGGTTATACTCTTAGACTTTTACCTCAATAGCGACAAGGGAAAAAGTGCGATTCAAAGGAATGTGGGGTACTTATCAGATGTTATTCATCAGATGCTTCTGATGTTATTAATTGCAGGCGGAGGCTCAAATCTTGTGCGTGCCGCTGTATATACTTCCATCTTGTTAATGCAAAATCCAAGCGACTGAGTTTTCTCTTCTCCTGTTCTTACAGCTCGTATTTAGCCCAACGGTACGTAAGCGACCGGACGAGCTGAAACTGTAAAATGACAAGAATAAGACAATAAAGACGAAAACGGAACTGAAAATGGTTTGCTTTGGTTGAGACGGCTGGATGTGTGCCCAACCATAATTATAAGTGTCTGGCTTCCTTAATTTACCCTACGAAACCGCAAGAAAGAGCTTTGGGTTTGAGATGGGAAGTCATGATGCTGAACCTAGACCTTTTCTCCAGGAAAGAAAACCCGTGGACCTTATAAAAAAAACGTATGAAATTATAGAAATTCCTGACGAATTGAGTGAGATGTATACAAGCTATCGTCATGTCATAAGGAGCATTTAGGCGTCACGACGTTACGCAGTCTTCTAAAGTTTCAAAACAAAGTTTTTGAGTTTGATCTCGGTTTTACCAAATAATTTTGCGTGTTATGTGAAAAAGAACAGTGTTCTATCGCGTATCATTCAAATAAACACCTGCTCGGAAAACGTAATGACAATGACATAGCGTGCTTGAAAGTAATTTACGATCACGGCCATGAGCAGAAACAATTAAAAGTCCTTGTGTTTTAGTTTCGAAATGGAAATCTGAATAATCATGCCGTTCAGTGAATTTACTTGACCCCCATTAAAACGAAATCTGTTCGCTAAAATCTCTACTGCAGTTTAAATCGAGTATACTGATCCAAAATGGCGATGAAGCAAATTATTCTCCTGATCACAGGTTTGCTTTTCTGCGCAGAAGAGGGTAAGTGTTAATGTCGGCAACGTAGATGACCTAGTTTAATCAAAGAGTTCTTATTGAATCGATATGTTTCTATGCAGTTTTCATTCATAGGCCATGAGGTTCGGTCTAGTTCTAGGTCTTTTTACTAACACACAGAGTCAAAAAGTCTGTTTCTCGCCGTAATGGGATATACCCATTGCAGATTAAGCGACTATTAAACGCTTTCAACAGTATATCTTAAGTCAAAAGGTTTTTCTGTCTTTGGAAAGGGTTTAGGGACAATACCGTAAAGTTCCCAAAGTAACGACCCTCCGAAAGTAGCGATAAAATTTCACAGGTGTTAGGAAATGCTAGCCTGTTCCAGGCGTTCAAATCGTGGGGACAGCGCAAGAGATTTGACCACTATCCGAACGCCTGGAAAAGGCTATAGAACTGATGTCAAAAGTAGCGACTTTAAAAGTGATTTCCTTTCTTGCTAGAAATAACTGAAATTATAGTTACACTGAAGCTTCACCAAACTGATCGGATATTTATTTTTTGACGGTTATTATGATCTTTGACATTCCCTTATGTAACTCAAAAGGTACGTTACATCTTCTTTTTTTAAAAAAAGTCTTCCTTTCGTCCGTGAATACTCAAATCGTAATCAGACAATTGCTGGTTTTCGGTGTCACGCCATTCAAAATAGATCAAAATCAAAATCAAAAGCTTTCAATAGATAAGGTCCAGAATCTGGGAAATAAAAAGGAGGTAAATATGCAACGACCCTTGCCAAGATTCAGGCCAGAGGAATATTTCGTATAAGAGATATTCGAAGAAACGTTTTCACAAAATTAATAGAGATTTGTATGGAGACATCATGCTGGTGCCCATCCGGATGGGCACCAACATGGCGGACGGAAACCAACAGAAACATATGTTACCGAGTTTTGCTAGAAAACCGTGAATTTATTTTTCGAGGAACTCTTCAAACATTAAAGTAATACTTTTTCTAATACATGAACTGTTTAGATAGCAAAATTCCCTGAAATAAGTCATTTTTTTAACCTACATGACAGCTCTCTTGGCCATCATGTAAACGCAGCGTGACGCAAAAGCTTAGAAATTCATGCGTACTCTATCACAAAACCAAGAACCCTTTTGAAGCTAAACTTTGTATGAAAATTAGTTTTCTGCTGTTTTAATACATTGTGAAAGTAAAATCTCGGAAGGATCGATAGTTTTGTAGTCTGAATTTTAGCGGAGCTCCCAAAAATTTATATTTAATTTTTTTCAAAATCTCTCCGGTCAACACTGTGCAGCCATCATCGGCGTCTCGGAAGCCTCTCTTTCAAGGTGAGGGCGGAATTCTCGGAATCCTGCATTCTGATTGGTCAACTTGAATCATTGTGGCAACTTCGTTTACAAGTGTTGTTGTTGTTGTTATTTGTGAATGAGTGATACATGGGCTTTATGCATGAGCACTAACTAATTCTGAATTTAATTTATTTTTCAAAGCCTCTGCGGTCATCTCTCTACAAACAACAACTGCTTCTCGAACGCCTTCCGATGAAAGTGAGTACATTTTAACACTTTTTTCGGTTAGCCAGCCTTATTTCTTAGTATTTTGAAATGTTGCTCGGTTTATATGCAGCTATGTGGGCTCGTTTCTTATCATTACGCAAAATTGCCCGGTTTTGAAATCACTTAGTCTATTAAAATTCATCTATTTCCACATTTGTATTCTCATCAAGTATTGAACTCGCGAATCCTTAAAGTACATTTAACTTTGTTCTGGTAATAAAAGGTATCAGGTTTTAAAGCTTAACAGTCTTCACTGTATATGTATAACGAATAACAGCTTCTCTAAACACTTCCCCACAAAGTGAGTATACACGCATCTTTTCTCAGTTTGAGAGCACCTGTAATTTGAACCAACATCGAGGATTTTCTTTTTTCAATTCAAAGTGGACAGACTGCAAATTGAGGGCCAAATTATAGTAGTTGCTAAAAAATATACATCTACGTGTCGCAACTGTTCATCAGTAGGATGCCTGAAATGCGTGCAATTTCACAATTGGTTTCGGCTCCATTAAATCCTATACCAATTGCAGAACATTTTAGAAGGAGCCACCCACCATGTGAGCACAGTCACGGACAACTCATATAAGTGAGGAAAATAACGCAAAGTAAAATTAACTAAATGTACGCGTCAATTAAATAAATAAACAAATAAAGCGCGCCCTCAAAATAAAATTGTACGCGCACAAGTATCAAGATAAAACTGAAGTACAATTCTAAGCAATAAATGAGTAATGTAAGGATACGATGGTACTAAACAAAGGTATCCTGAATGCAGTTTTAGCACGTTTTGGCAATACCTAGTGTTTCGTGTAATTTAAAGTGTGATGCCGATTTTCTTTTTAAGGATCCACGGCCATCACTGTACAATTACCAACAGCTTCTCAAATACCTTCCGATCAAAGTGAGTATGTCTTTTTGGTCCAGGTTCATAGTATTTTGCACTTAATTGCTTGGTGTTAGTCGTCCTTTAATTTCCGACCGTGTTTTTTAACATATTCCATTAAAACCCAGCATAACATTTAATCTTATAATTAAAGTTTATCTTTTTAAAGCCTCTCCGGTCACTACTGTACAATCAACAACAGCTTCCCGAAGTTTTCCCGATCAAAGTGAGTATATAATTATCTGTAGTATGCATTTTCATCATTACTTTTCTTTGTACTATAGTTATAAGCTTTAAAAAGGAACTACTAAAACACACATCATCATTTCCAGAATTTTAGTCTTATGAAGTACAGAGGAACCCAGTTTATACGGGTATCCGTGAGAGGGGTTCCACTGTACCAAACTCATTAATCCCCAGCATTTGACTTGCTGTGTTCTGGTAATACTAAGTATTGATTCTTATTTTGAATTTGATGTTTTTTAAGCCTTAACAGTGACCTCCGTAAAACCAACATCAGCTTTTCCGAAGACTTCCAATCAAAGTAAGTAGGTTTTTATAGTCTTACACAGTTACTTATAATTGGACTTGGTTCTTAGGTTAGTATTACTCATTATTTTATCGTTTTAGAACTCTGTAATTTTCACCAAATTCGATATTTTTGTTTTTATGAATACCGTATACAGCCTAATGAAGGAATTTTAGAACGTTTTCGTAACGTATTATATTTGGTTTAATTCAAAATTTTATATTTCTTTCACGTCTCTTCGGTCACCACTGTGCAACCAACTTCAGCCTCTCGAAAGCCTTTCGATCAAGGAGAGGGCAGAATTCTCGAAATCCTACATTTTGATTGTTCCCGTTGAATCGCTGTGGCAACAGTTCGTTTACAAGTTTTGTTGTTGTTGTTGGTTGTGAATGTGCGAAACATGAGCTTTATGAGCACTAGCTAACTCTAAGTTTATATTATTTTTTAAAGCCTCTACGGTCACCTGTCTGCAAACAACAACCTCTCCTCGAACGCCTTCCGATGAAAGTGAGTATAGTTTTACACTTATTCAGTTAGGCATTCTTGTTTCTTAGTATTTTGCAATATTGTTCAGTTTAAGAGCTCTCACTGTTTATTTTCATCTGATAAACAGAAAGTTATCTTCATGATGTACAGATTACACTATGTAATATTTCAAAAGTGTTCAAATGATACCTATAGACCTTGTCACGGTTTTCGACGCCATCATGACGAGTAGGCAAACGCGTGAGAAATTATAGTGTTTGTATGAGAATCTTAAGTCGAATAATTTTCGTAAAACCGCTGTTCTAAACAAAATATCAATTGTAAACTAAAGCTACAAAGCAAAGGATTGTCCTAAAAAAATTGGGGGCGTACCTGTGCTTAAATTTCTCCAGAGGCTTTCTTCAGATTTTCCTTATATTGGTCTGTAATTTTCCCGGGACTTTCTTACAGACAAATGCATAGGAAATTTCAAAAAGTGGTTCTAGGTCTTCTAATGCATGCAACGCCCTCGAATTTTTTCAAGAGAATCCTTAGGAGTGAAGCTTTAGTTTACAAATCATATTTTTTTCAGAACAGCCGTTCTACGGAAATTATTCGACGTTAGATTCTCATACAATCACTGTAATTTCTCACGCTTTTGCCTACTGGTCAAGATGGCGTCGAAAACCGTGACAAGGTCTATTATGATACTTAATACGTAGTTCTACTCGTACGTGTATGCAGTGACATGCAGGTACTGAGCTTGGTCTTAGCTTAGTATTCGAGTTCATTGTAATTGTAATTTGAAAAAATGGAAATTGTAATTTGTTTACATGCAAAACACTTAAACGTTCTTATGAACTCGTTAAAACGTGTGCGTTCCAGATCGAATTTGAATTTGGACTGAAGTGTTGGTTTTTGAGGAGAGGGGAAAATCGGAGTACCCGGAGCAAAACCTCTGGGAGGAAGGGAGAGAACCAACGAAAAATCAACCCAAATATGGTTTCGACGCCACGATTTGAAGCCAGGGCCACATTAGTGGGAGGCGAGTGCTCTCATCACTGCGCCACCCTTGCGCCCTTGCGTTGTTTAAGAGCTCCTGTGATTTTCACCAACTTCGAGGATTTTCCTTTCATGAAGTACCCGGCACAGGTATCCTTATAATGCATTTCGGCATGTTTCGGTGATATAAGGTGTTTTCCCTTAATTTTCTATTCTTCAGTCTGTCTTTACTTTGCATCCCGCCACCAGCCTAAAAATAGCCAGGATATTTCAGTTTGATGGATCTGCATGCTGAAAAAAACCACTCCGAGTGCAATTCACAATCCTTCGACTTTCTTTTTGTTTTTCTTGTATTCTATACATTCTACTGGCCTAAATCCTTATTATTTTTTTAAAGACAAAGCAATTTACTAGTTGAGCGATTGGAGTTCCTAATAAAAAGCTAGGAGAGTAGCGGGAAAGCATCTCGCGATCATCTCGTCAGAGGACAAAGTATCGATTTGCTTAAGTTAAATTTATCTTTTAATCGTGGGAACAACAAGCTAACACTTCACCCAGAGAGTCAAAGGACGCGACATGGGTCGGCACCCTTTGTAAGCGCGCAAATAGTCACGGGACCAACGGTCTTACGCCGACGCTTTTCAATAAGCGCCATTCCATAGTGAGTATGTTGTTGTAGCCAGAGTCTCCAGTTTTAATAGCGGAGCTCCACGCGCGTGCGGAGCCCCATAGCTAATCACGTGACCGTACACTGCCCGAGCAACCGACCTTCCGCACCACAGGCACACCAATATAAAATTAGTCAATCAACAGGTAAGCAACCCAATTGCAACGGAAGAAAATCGCATGGCCGCCCGGACTTTTAGAGAGAGAAAAAAACAACAACAAAGTTTTGTCTTTTTCGACGTTATTTTTGATATTTACACTCACGTGGATAACCACAGGCGGCCCAGACGTAGTATGTGTCAAATGAATATGTTAATATTCATATGGACAAAATATGATGAGTCGTCGAAGCTCCCATGAACTAAAATAGTCCAAAAGTCAAAATATAACAAAACAAAGCTAAGATACCTTTAACTGAACGTATCCTTGTCTTTCCTGGCCGGTTGAAGTGGCATTTTGTTGAGTTTTGCAGTTGTAGGTACTATCCACTAAAGAAGAATTAAAGGCTGGCCACAAAACAAACGGACTATCTCAACGCGCCTTCACGCGACGCGCTATAAATTCTAGAATAACTGATGAATCTGCTCGTTTATTACATTTAGGCCTTCTACAACTGCAAGCAAATCTTGTCCTAATGCCAGAGTAGAAATCGCGTTGACTTTCTCATTGCGTAACACACGCGACATTCCCAGCCGCTCCAATTCCAAAAGGACTTGTTTCGACAGCTGAGTTAAAAATCGCTCTTGCGTCCGCCATTTCTGAATTCAGAATAATTCTTTCCCGCAGAACTATGAATTTCGCGTCTCTAGTTTTCGCGGGATTTAAACCTCGAACGATTGATTGGGAAGATTAGAACCAACAAGACTAATTTCAAAATACTAAATATCATTCTTGACAACGAGGCTTGAGATAATATAACAAAAAACATATATTGATTAGTACCGGCTAACCAACGTAGAACATTCTCCTACAGGTTTTGCCTTTAAATGTCTCCAGTGCAGTGGTAACATTGAGGAATGTAACAGCATGAGCGCTAAAAACGTGTCTTGTGCAATAGGCCAGAACAGATGCTTGAAAGTGATGATGAGTAAAGACGGCAAAGAATCTGGTTTATATGGGTGCGCATCTGATCGGGACTGCAAGATGGCTATCAAATCTTGTAAAGCGGTCAAGGAAAACAACGTCAGGACGAACTGTATGTCCCAATGCTGCAACACAACGGCTTGCAATACACCTCCACCAAAAAGTATGGTGCCTCTTTTTGTTATAACATTCAAACTGAATTTTATTGTTGTTAATCACACTATAGGATCATCTCCAGGATGACCGGTAGGTAGTAGGATACAATCTCGTTTTAAATTAGCCCATTACATGATGGTAAGTCACATGGCACGAGAACGGCAACCTGGAGAACAAGCAACATTGTAGATAGATAGATAGATGTTCTGTTTATTTCACCCACTTGCAGGAATAACTGAATTGTTAGGGAAGGTCATTGTCACATACAATTAACCATTTACATACATTCATTGAAATTTATAAGTTACAAAGTCATTAATTCTTTTGGTATGACAATGTTGACGTCTTGGAAGTACCTTAGAAGTACCTTGGGACCTTAAGGGTCTTATGTATCCGTTTGAACGGGCTCGAAAGTTTAAACTCATTTGAACCTTAGCGAAACAACCTCATCCAGCCTCGTCCAACAAGCTCTTTACTTTCTTTCACTAACTTCGTTTCTTGCTGATTTTGTATCAGGCGACCATCACAGCAAATTTCAAAATTTATAAGAGTGCCATAGTGTCTTACAGACACAAGGGAGCCTCGTTTTGCATCTCTTTGAGGACCGCAGTCTATGGAGGCTGAACTTTTTTCGGAAATTAAACACTAAAACTCCACAATATCTTGTACTTTGTTGACAGCTGATTATATATTTATAAGTCGGTGGGATATGATTGTGCGGGTGAGTGTGGTCTAAATAGGACTGTTGTTGACAGAGATTGACTTTTCGACAAACTGTGTGGTATGTCATCTTCAGAGTCAAAAATCATTATATGTTTCATTTATATTAACTCTCAGGTTACAAATTGAAGTGCTATATGTGTGAAAGCGTAATATCAATGGACGACTGCGTGCAAAACACTTGGTCTGGACGCTGCGCAGAAGGACAAACAAAGTGCGGCAAGTTTACCACTGAATTGATCATGCAAGGAAAGAAAGTCATGGTGTATCGAAAGGGATGCCAAACTGAAATGACCTGTAAAAAGGAAAACGATCTGTACGGCCAGGCCTGTGGATCTGATGACACCTGCAAATTTCATTGCTGTGAAGGAGATTTGTGTAATGCTGGCTCATTTGCTTCTATCAGCGTTGTGTCCCTCTTCACATGCACTTTGCTGTATATTCTTTACATCTAGGACAGTGCTGTATGGTAGCACCAACGGTTATGTGCCAGCTGCACGTCATTTACAGTAAATCATATTCAAAAATAATTTAGCTCAGCATATTTAAGGTAGACCCTTCCCGTTGAAAGACATTTTGTACTGAAGACATTACTCCGAGAAGTGTAGGTTAAGCTAAAGAAAAAAAGAATAGCACCACTTAATGGCTGGTAAACGTTTATTCTTCGTGATTTTTGTTCAGGTACCCACAACATCGAGCACAAGCTTAAGCCGTAAAGGAAAATAACTAGGTTAGCATAGGTTTTTTAACAACTATTCAAGCTTTTAAGTCTTAAGATGTCAAATAAAGCTAATCATTCTGAATATGTCGGGATTCCTTTTAAGATCCAAATGTAAATCCAGCGGGGTAGGTTGAACCATGGCGCGGACCGGGATCCCATCCTCGCCATCCATGAGGCTAGGAATTTTTTTGTTCGTAAAAATTAACTCGTTGGTTTTTTTCTTCTGGAAGTGCATATACTAAGATCTACGAAGTTATGTTTGGAACCCATTTCTTTTTCTTAAAATAACTGTAGAATAACTTTGCTGTTTCATTCATTTTGTTGAAACTGAGAATTTTTGTTCCAATTTTGATCATTAAATTCTTGGCAATCTCAGAGTTTGTGTTGTTCTTCTGTTAGTGCTGGCGTTGTTATATGCTTGGTGAAAACGATCATACGCGATAGGTTTTACTCAAACAAAAAAATGAAACAGTATATTTTAGATCCAGCACTTACACAGTAAGCCTATATTTCTACATTTCCCCTATTTTTTAAAAGTATTACCGCAACATCTTCTTCTATTGACGTCACTCTTCCATCCTTTTTTTCATTATGGGACGGTTGACGTAAAACCTAATTTCTTGAAAAGTTGTTAGGCAGCACGTTATGAAAATGAATCGGAAGATTAAGGCCAGGGCAATAAGGAAAGGAAAATCGAAATTTTTTGATTAACCGCCGAGAACTCAAGAAGACGATGACCACACTAAAATACTGATGAGATGACTGCAACATCATTCTTCACGTCATGTAAATACATGAACACCAGTCTTAACTCTAGAATCAAAGGTATTATGATGATCCATTGTGTAGTTCCAGAAAATATCCATACCCCTCCTACGGAGGGTAACGGAAATTCCGAGGGGAGGGGGGTCCAAAAAACGCAATTTCCGAGGGGGTGGGGGGGGGATGGCTTCTTGAGGTCTTTTTCCGGGAGCTCCTAGTAAGACTAGTGAGTTATCAAAAACTAACAGCTGCTCTGTTGAGCAAGTTCTCAGTTATTTGACTGTTAACGGTCTTTTAAAACAGGAATTATTTTTTTCATCGATGATATTTTATTAAAGGTCGGCTGAATGTTTTTTTTTTCCAGTAGCTATTCATACGGGAAACTTACACCGACTTGTATTTGCTATTCATGGGATTCTTCTGAGTATGCACAATACAACTATTATCCACAAAGAATATCTCAACCTGCTTCCAATCACCATTTTTTCAACACTAAACCACACAGAATCGAATTCGTAGTAGTTTCGTTGAATATAGATCTCCTTCAGTAACGGTCATAGATGAACTATTTCGGGACAAGTAGTGGGGATGTACAGTATGTTCAAAGAGACTCTCGGTTTAATAAAACGAGATACCAACGCATTGTCTTTTAAAACTTAGGCGTAATTTTCTCGCACTGAGTACTTCAGACAACTGACAGGGAGATATTTAAGCATCAAACTTGCACTCCTGTACTCCGGACTGCAGATGCTATTTTTACGGACTTTTCTGGAAGGGCAGGAGTCTGGGTACGAGCCTGGCTGCCAAGCTGCAAATACGCCCGGGAAAAGCGCGGCGAATTTGTATTTCAGCCATGTCATACCTGGAACAAGACAACTTTGTGGGAGAATAATCGAAAATCTTTACATCGAGCTTTCAAGATCAACGTTGCAGTCCAAAACATGAGTTTCAAGTCATCCACTTAAAGTATTCCACTTAAATGGACTTCTGACTCGTGAAATAATGATTTATTCACTCAACATGTTACATTCAATTGATTTAAATATTGCATCTACCCCTCTTGCCGAGGAAAGCAGAAAGGTTTACTGAGAATATTCCATTCCTCTGGAACTGGACAGGATCCCTTATCGAGGGTATTGTATAAAAAACTTCCCTTACTCAGATAAGGAAGCTAATTTGTCAACAATGTCAATGTGTAAGGGAAATATGGAACGGAAAAATACAATGCAGGCATAGAAATAAAATCTTACTAAACAGTAACAATGCAAAACACAGCTTATATATTAAATGTAGCCAAAATGGTGTGATGCATCACATCTCGATTCGGTTGTCTTTCTTTCATAATCTAATCAGATGTTAGCGGTTAATTAAAACATAGCGCGCGTGCTTGCCCTATATAAGTCTTATTGAGCCGCTATGAACAAAATCTTTATTTACGCACGCCCGTGCGTAAATAAGATGACGTGAGCATTTTTTTTACCTGGCCGCAAAGTTGTCGTCTATTATATTAAGTTGCAGTGCAGTTTTCCTTCTCTTTAAAATATGGAAGAAAACAGCGAAGAACTGCCCAATTTTTCGATCGGCATTGACCTTTTAGGTCCTGATCCAACAAGCAGCATAAATAAAGCCGAATCAAAAAAACTCTCAAATTTGTCGGAAGACAAGCTGTAGCAATTACTGGCCGAAAGACATTCACTGGGAACAGAAAAGACACCAATTGGCCATTAACAACATTTAAAGGTAAAATTTCCGTTTTTATTGTTGTTTTTAAATTTGTTATGTACTTTTGTTATCACCGAACAATCTGACTAAAATCAGGAAAATTTCTCTTGCAATAACAAGACAAATTACACAAGAAGACATAATTTTATTACTCACAAAAACAACTGCTGCCAGGTCTTCTCAAGTAGCCGTAATGACCAGCCATTGTTCGTAAATGAATATAAAATAGGATGACAGTCATCTTCGCTAAAAAACAAGTTTTCTGGATTTCGCCGAGCAAAACATCAACATCTTCTCAGCGCCGGATCCAAACCATACTCCACGACGTCTTACGAACACATTGCCAGAAATAGTGGACATTTCGCGCCCGTGATTAATTGTCAGCGGAATCTCATTTCCAAAATGGCGGACAAAAACGATCGTAGTCAGGGAAAGCGTATCCCCTGCAACTGTAGTCGACTTTAAGTACAAGGACAAAAAATCAGTCTATTGTGTAATACACTATTAATCAACTCGCGCGTAGTGGGAGATAAGAGAAAGACCGAGGTGGGGGGTGTTTAAAAGTTGTTATTCTCTGGGGGGTGGGGTGGCGGATGGCTTCTTGAGGTCTTTTTCCGGGAGCTCCGAGTAAGACTAGTGAGTTATCAAAAACTAACAGCTGCTGTGTTGAGCAAGTTCTCAGTTATTTGACTGTTAACGGTCTTTTAAAAGAAGAATTATTTTTTTCATCGATGATATTTTATTAAAGGTCGGCTGAATGTTTTTTTTTTTCCAGTAGCTATTCATACGGGACCTGTCATATCCCATGAATCCTTATGCGCTTCGTACATGCGCAGTATGTTCTGCTTGCCATGTGCTTACAGACTTGAAGTAAAATATTGTTGAGTTCTCTGCGTTCGTTATACACTTTCTTGCTACATTACAAACTACAAATTCCTGGTACATTACAGGACCCTTACAGCGACTTGTCTTTGCTATTCATGGGATTCTTCGGAGTATGCGCAATACAGCCATTATCCACAAAGAATATCTCAACCTGCTTCCAATCACTATTTTTTCAACACTAAACCACACAGAATCGAATTCGTAGTAGTTTCGTTGAATATAGATCTCCGTCAGTAACGGTCATAGATGAACTATTTCGGGACAAGTAGTGGGGATGTACAGTATGTTCAAAGAGACTCTCGGTTTAACAAAACGAGATACCAACGCATTGTCTTTTAAAACTTAGGCGAAATTTTCTCGCACTGAGTACTTCAGACAACTGACAGGGAGATGTTTAAGCATCAAACTTGCACTCCCGTACTCCGGACTGCAGATGCTATTTTTACGGACTTTTCTGGAAGGGCAGGAGTCTGGGTACGAGCCTGGCTGCCAAGCTGCAAATACGCCCGGGAAAAGCGTGGCGGATTTGTATTTCAGCCATATCATAACTGGAACTAGACAGCTTTGTGGGAGAATAATCGAAAATCTTTGCATCGAGCTTTCAAGATCAACGTTGCAGTCCAAAACATGAGTTTCAAGTCATCCACTTAAGGTATTCCACTTAAATGGACTTCTGACTCGTGAAATAATGATTTATTCACTCAACATTTTACATTCAATTGATTTAAATATAGCATCTACCCCTCTTGCCGAGGAAAGCAGAAAGGTTTATTGAGAATATTCCATTCCTCTGGAACTGGACAGGATCCCTTATCGAGGGTATTGTGTAAAAAACTTCCCTTACTCGGATAAGAAATCTAATTTGTCAACAATGTCAATGTGTAAGGGAAATATGGAACGGAAAAATACAATGCAGGCATAGAAATAAATTCTTACTAAACAGTAACAATGCAAAACACAGCTTATATATCAAATGTAGCCAAAATGGTGTGATACATCACATCACGATTGGGTTGTCTTTCTTTCATAATCTAATCAGATGTTAGCGGAAAATTAAAACATAGCGCGCGTGCTTGCTCTATATAAGTCTTATTGAGCTGCTATGAACAAAATCTTTATTTACGTACGCCCGTGCGTAAATAAGATGACGTGAGCATTTTTTTTACCTGGCCGCAAGTTGTCGTCTTTTATATTAAGTTGCAGTGCAGTTTTTCTTCTCTTTAAAATATGGAAGAAACCAGCGAAGAACTGCCCAATTTTTCGATCAGCATTGACCTTTTAGGTCCTGATCCAACAAGCAGCATAAATAAAGCCGAATTCAAATAACTCTCAAATTTGTCAGAAGACAAGCTGTAGCAATTACTG